ACACACACACACATACCCACACACACATACACACACACACACACACACACACACACAAACACACTCACACACACACACACACACACATGTGCGCGCACACTCGCGCACATAAGAAAATCAGCGGTCACATTGAGACGAAAATGCAAATGTGTGTATGTGTGTGTTGGGGTGTTGGGTCCGGGGGTGGGATAGTACCTCATGGTGAATGACAGTCACATTCTGTATGGATGGTCACGACCCTACTTGGTTCCCACTTCTGCCCCTAGCTCACGTATGGCTCCACGGATACTGCATTTTGGCTGACCGGCTAAACTACATGAGTGAGCCTTCGGGCGGGGAATGTCAATGTCTACCCCTAGTACACAAAGGGTTCAACGGGTGGAAAGGTGGACCCAGCAAAGCGCTGTGGAGAGCAGCATAGGGAACAATGAGGCACAAAAGACACTGCTGACCATCCACTGCATCCCGACCTTTCCCCAGTCGTCTCGACTATGTCCTGCCACTGGCAACAGATGGGCCGGGACGAGAGAGTGAAGCTGACGACCAGCGCAACTCTCCCTCACTGTAATCCAAGTCAAGCGCAAGTCATGACTTCATTCCCTTTACAGCACAACATAAAGTCCTGTGGCGATGGGCGAGTGGCGAAGCGGCAAATGTGGATACACTGGGAGCTGTAGTCACAGACCTGCACACAGGCTGCTCAGGGCGATGGGTCGCTCTCTACTGAACTGAAGCAGCAGTGGGGCTCGGCAGCCCCCTGGGTGTCTGAGCAGCCCTTTTTAGGATTCGCTCTGCTCACCTCTTGGGAGGAAGGGGCTAGAAAAGGTGCCCTAAAATAGCTTGCTTCAGCCTACCCTTACCAGTTTACCGCGGCTGGCAGGGTTCCCCTTACAGCGGTCGATCAACAACGAGAAAAAGAGTGGTGGCACTCAAACTTGCCACATAGAACGTCCGCACCTTGCTGGACAACACCAAGGCAGACAGACCAGAAAGAAGAACTGCAGTAGTTGCAAAAGAGCTTGCTCGCTACAACATCGAAATTGCAGCTCTAAGTGAAACCCGACTTGCGGAAAAGGGCCAACTGACAGAGGACGGTGATGGCTATACCTTCTGAAGCGGTCGCAACACCGATGAAAGGCGCGAGGCAGGAGTGGGATTCGCTATGAAGACCCACCTTTCTCGAACACTCAATAAGCTTCCAGAAGACTTGAACGATCGCCTAATGAAACTACAGAAGAAAAAAAACTAGCAGGCAAGAAAAGTGCAACACTGATCAGCGCTTATGCTCTTACGATGACAAATCCTGACGACACCAAGGACAAGTTTTACGAAGACCTGCATGCCGTCATCTCAGGAGTCCCAAAACCAGGCAAGCTCAAAGTTCTCGGGGACTTCAATACTCGAGTAGGGACAGACCGTCAGAGCTGGGAGGGGATAATTTGGAAGGCATGGAACTGGCAAATGTAACAGCAACGGCCAACTACTTCTAAAAACGTGCACCACTCACGACCTCGTCGTTACCAACACTTTGTTCCGCCTACCCATTCGCAACAAGACGTCCTGGATGCATCCTCGCTTTCGTCACTAGCATCTCTTAGATTATGTCATCACCAGGCAAAGGGACAGGCTGGACGTTAGAGTGACTAGGGCCATGTGCGGTGCTGACTGCTGGACTGACCATCGCTTCATCACCTCCAAATTTAAGCTACGCATCCTGCCCACGAGAAGACATGCTAAAAGGCTGAACGTCACAAAACTAAAATCCACTAGAGTTGCAACAAACTTCTCTCACGATCGAGAAGACAGATTGTCCTGTACAGCTCAAAACAACCAGACCAGCGTCGATGAACAGTGGACAGCCTTTAGAGATACTGTCTACTCCACAGCCCTCGAACACCTTGGGCCAGCAGTCCGCAGAAACCAGGACATATTTGACGAAAATAACGAAAGTATCTAAGTCGTACTGAACGAAAAACAACGATTGCTGAGGGCGCACCAAAATGACCCAACGTCGCACGACAAAAAGGATGCCTTCAAGAACGCAAAAGTAAAAGTACAGAAATCACTCAGAGACAGGCATGAAAAATGGTACAAAAAGAAAGCCAATGAAATTCAGGCCTATGCAGACAAGCATGACACTAAGCGATTTTATGACGCACTGAAAGCACTATACGGACTCCAGCCCTCTGGCTCCTCCCCACTTCTCAGTGCGGACAGGTTACAGCTGCTCACAGAGAAGAAGCAGATCCTGGAAAGATGGGCTGAACACTTCAACAACGATCTCAACCGTCCTGCTGAAATAAATGACGAGGCCATCGCCCGCCTGCCCCAAGTGACCATCAACAAGGACCTCGAAACCCTCCCCACGGAAGAGGAAACCAGAGAGGCAACAAAACAAATCTCCTACGCCAAATCCCCAAGACCCGACGAAATCCCTGCCGAAGTGTACAAAGCAGGAGGCCCGAATATGCTTAAAAAGCTGACTGAACTATTCCAGGTCATGTGGAACGAGGGAAAGCTCCCACAACAATTATTTTAAAGACGCCAACATCGTCCACATCTTTAAGAGGAAGGGCAACAGCCAGAATTGTGATAATCACCGGGGAATTTTACTCCTGTCTATAGCCGGCAAGATTCTGAACCGCCTCCTCCATCATCTGGAACAGGGACTCCTCCCACAGACTCAGTGCGGCTTCCGGGCCAAACGAGGAACTGCAGACATAATCTTCGCCGCCCGCCAACTCCAGGAAAAATGCAAGGAGCAACACTCTGGTGACGTATTCGTGACATTTGTGGATCTAAAGAAGGCTTTCGACACTGTCAGCAGAGAAGGACTGTGGCGGATCATGGAGAAGTATGGATGCCCAAGAAAATTCATCACCATCGTCAGACAGCTTCACGATGGTATAATGTTGAAGGTGTTAGTGGACGGAGATGAGTCAGACACCTTCCCTGTGACCAAAGGCGTTAAACAAGGGTGTGTCCTTGCCCCAACTCTTTTCAGCATGGTATTTTCCGCCATGCTAACAGATGTCTTCCACAGCAGTGAAGATGGCATCCGAATCAGGTACAGAACCGACGGCAGGCTGTTCAACATCAGGTGCTTCCAAGCCGTTACCAAGGTGAAAGAAACAGTCATCAGGGAACTTCTCTTCGCCGATGACTGTGCACTCAACGCTAGCACAGAAGAGTATGCAAAACGAAATGAACTGTTTCGCCTTAGCCTGTGACAACTTCGGCCTCAGCTTCAATACCAAGAAAACCGAAGTCGTATACCAACTAGCCCCCCGACAACCATACACAGGGTCACAAATCATGGTGAAGGGACAGAAACTCCAGGCAGCTGACCACTTTACCTACCTAGGCAGCACACTTTCACGTGCCTTACGGAGAAAACATAGAGAACGCCGATTTCGGAGACTGACTCAGTAAGCGCCGATAGGTATAAACATTCCCTTAAGATTTCCAACTTGCCCCACCTGGCAGACTGCAGGCGGCTTTAAACTCGGATCGGCGTTGTCGGCTTTATCGGAATCCAAACTACATTCTTATTGCGCCGAAAAACTGGGAATGGCGTCTCGCTGTCAACTCGCAACCGCAGTGCTTTCTGGTCGTATTTCCATGTTTTTTAAAAACAGTGAAAATGAGACTTCTTCTTTAACCCACTCTTTGTTATGAACTGTTTTCACTGTTTTTTAAAATGGAGGTACGACAAGAAAGCACCGAGGTCGCGAACTCTCAATGCCGTCTCGCCGTCGCCAACTCGGGTTCAGCGGTTTGTGTGACGTCACCCGACTGGACTGGGGACAATTTTAAATGGTCATTTTAGAGCTGGTGCTTCACGGTAGACAAAAACAAACTACATTTTTTAAATCAGCATCGTCAAAATAGGGTGGTTTTCGAACAGAATTACATTTTAAGCAATATTTAAGAAAATTGGTGGGTTTTTTTCCCCCAAAAAATTATGCTTCATCAATACCAGCTGTGTTGTGATGTAATTATATATTTTTTTCTTAGATCTAGAATCTAGATTAGATCTAGATATCTAGGCTTTACTGTGTCAGTAGAGTGTGTGATTTTGAAGAGACGAGGCCTGTGTAGTTTTCCGTTGTGCGTCTAGAGATCTACTTGTCTGGCTGTGTCGTGTCTTGTCAAAATGGATGTAGGGGGCTCTCGTGGCCTAGAGGTTAAGGCATTGGCCTCTCATTCAAAAGGTCCCGGGTTCGAATCCAGGTAGCGATCGAAACATTTTCTTCTCTCTCCTTTCACCTCATTTCCTGCTCTCTGGCAATGTTCTGTCGTCTGCTTTCCTCACCTCTTGGGAGGAAGGG